GACAATCCTCCAGCACAGGCTTTAGTGAGTCAATTTAAAGAAAATAAAAGTAAAATCTAAGGACTGAAAAGAAGCCACAAAACTTAACACACTGAAGTAAAAAAAAAACTCTAGATCACCTCAATCCCCCTCCTCCTATCTCAAACTAAGAGCAAAAGTGCCACCTGGTGGAAACTCTCCAAAGCCCTGAATGACTGGAAGCACGAAATGGGGGTGAGTCACCAGCGAATGTGCCAAAGAGATGAGCGCTGAAAGCTCTTTGGAAAAAGGATTAGGGCTGTTTACGTGGCCAAGTGGCAGGCTGCCAAAAGCACAAGTGTGCACTTCTTAAAGCTGAAGAGGGGCTGAATCTCACACGAAGAGCTGCACCTTGTCTGCTCTGCAAACCACAGCCACGAGAACCCACGGACTATTTTCCTTTGTCTTTCAAAATCTTGAGCAGATTAAACAAACCGACTCGTCTCTGCAACTCGGAAGAAACATAACAAATGCAGATTTAAACGATTAAGTCCTGTTGTGGCTTCAAGGTGCAAACAGCCAGGGGCCACTGAGCAGACACGGTGTGCACTGAATCTTTGACTCCGATTAATCAGGTTCCAGTAGCTTTGATGAGCCGGTAATGGCAAAGGCAAAATAATTTAATCAGGATGCAAGATCAATGGAAGGTTTTTTTCCAATGCCTATGAATGCAAACTGCAATCGGAAAAGGGAAAAACAATAAACTGATCTGTCTTGCTGCAAGCCGACATAAACTTACAGTAAATGGAATCTGAACGATACTTCCAAGTGGGGGGATTATTATGTGCCCTTCACTGATGTGGCGGCTGCAGGCTGAGCTCAGGATATCTTTAGAGTTCACGTGCTGTAGAGCTTGAAATGCAGAGTGGGTCCTGATGAGTGTGTGTGCGTCTGAGGCCTCACTGGAACCCTATATATTCCTGACTAGGAAGTTGAAGCCGAGAAGCTCTTTCTCTGCCTCTGGTTTTGGCACATTTATTAAAGACACATTTACAGTGTACATACAGTAAGGCTTGCCTGCTGTAGCTGACTGACCACGCCCCCTACCGTGTTACTATGCAGCCCCTCAGGATCGAAGAGTAGCACTTTGATTTCATAACTAGCTTGCAAATTATGAGGGAAAAACCAATGCACAGCATATACTCCGTAATACTTAATAGAACAAGTTGCATTATAAAAAAAGACTAAACCTCTCATTTTCCGGATCTTAACTAAAGTCACTGAATTAAAACACCTTTTACTTAGGATTTTCACTTCTGAATGCCAATAAACTGTACAGGTTGAGTTAACTGAAAGAAGCCACTTTGGAAAAAAAACTGCAGGGACCGTCTAGTATTATAGAGTCGTAAAGTTTTGTTCTTATAGATAACTGATACCAGTAAACAAGATGACTAGTTCACATAGCAAAAACTCTAAGCAGTAGGACCTGGAATTTTTCATTACAGTCAAGCGCACCTAGAAGAGGAATGACTCACTGCCAATATCCACTCCAAGAGATTATTTAGAAACAACCCCTTTTTCCTTTTCATGTTTACTGTAGACAACTACTACAGTTCTCAAGTGCTGTATCTGGTACAATTCCCCTGAAGAACTAAGAATCTGTTGTTACATGTATACATGACACATACATTGTTACAGTCTTCTTCCATTTCTGATTTTCATCACCTTGGGCTTGTAGATCCACATCAATTTCCACTACAAGGTCATGAAGAGAGGTGTTAAACCTACACCTACATTTACCAGTGGCATGGTTAAATGTATTTCAATTTCACATTCAATGATATACTGTATGCTTATGTCCGATATGCAAACTAATGAAATGTAATAGAAACAAATGTTAAAGAGAACAATGCTGGCACCTAGTGTTAGTGTTAATTAAAAATGTTTCTGTGGAATACAGCCATGAGAAGTGACACCACTGTACAAAAATACTTTTTCCATAACTTAATACATTTGAACATTGAGTACTGTTAGGTTGGAAAAATATCACGTTTATAAATTGTAGAGTGCAAAAACATACCAAAAAAGCAGGTGGTGAGGCCAGCCACAAAATGTAATTCTCTCTGTCGTTTTTGAATAAAATACATGTACAGCATTTATGGAACAACTTAATCAGATAGTGTTAACTTTTTCTTGAGAGACAGTCCACACAACAGCTCTTTAAACATCAGTTCAGGTGTGGTTTGCCATAGCGGCATGTTTCCAGCTTTGGCTCAAACACACTGGGAAGAGCAGCTGGGAAGAGTAAAATGCTGTTTACTTTTGGAACAGAATGTGACACTGACAAAGGCCCGTTTAACGAAGATCGGTAAACAGAAAACATAACCTCTCAGCTCAATGCAAACTAAACAACGTGAGCACATTATTGGCATAACATTAACTTTCATCATTTAGAATACAAAATGCAGATCACTTATGCATAAAAGTGTATATTCTACAATACATAGCATATTACTGTTTAAAAAAACAAATTAATTTATTTTTGCTGGAGGTCAGAAGGAACACAAACACCTCCTCAGCCATTCAAAACAGCTCACCAACTAAGGACAAAAGGCAGTGGGAAACTGCACATCACTAAGACTGTTCTAACCTGCGCAGCCTCAGACTGGACCGCAGACTCAGAAAGTGAGCCAACACTCACTCTTATTTTGTAAGAGGAAAAAATGAATAATACAATGATTTTATCCTGTAACAGGCATTCACTACCACAAACATAGCCGTATTGATAAGGTCTTCAAGATGAACACAATAAATTGGAAGAGCTCCTATCAGAATCAAAATCCCCAGTGCACTCCCTAAAGACCAAACAGGCACTGTTTTTAGAAAGATTTAGTGTATTACTTACTTACTAATTGGTGGTAAAAATCCACATTATTCATTTTTAAATATTTTATTCTAGTCCACTTTTAAAAGAGACATTGAATATTTGAGGCAAAACAGCATTGTCTTACTGTAAGTGCCTTACTTACCACCAACTTTATATACAAAGATAGACCAGAAAAGCAGTACAGGTGTGCAGACATTTCGGAAACTAACACAGAAACCTGCAGATACATAGGGAAACCTGTAGACTTTTAACATCATGTAGTTAATACATTCAAAATTAAAATATCAAGTCATTATATTATTAAAGAGTTAATCTACTACATTTTTGGTAAGCGCTGGAATGTTGTATGATTTTATACATTCAGTTTATGGGTGCACTACTTTCAAATGCCCTGTACTTACTGTAGATTTTGAAACAAAAACAAAATGAAATGTGTGCCTGTTGCCTTTCTTTCAAGAAATGTCTGGATGAGATTCTTGAACAGATATTATATTATATTCTTAATTGCACGCACTGTGACTGTACAATTGAAATGATACTTCATTTGATTAAATGATTATGTTTTTATCCATATGCTGGTAACGGAACATATTCACCACTTCCAAATGCTTCCCACAGAACCTTTAAACCTGGGTTAATTCACAGACCCTATTTGGACTCTACACAATCCTGCAGAATGCCCAGTTTGAGCAGATAAAAGAGTACCTTGACTAGTGCTGCCATCTGCTGGTGGAATTTTCAGGCCACGACGGTCTGAACAATAATAATAATAATAAACAACTTTCTTTTATATAGCGCCTTTAAAGGTGGCTCCTCAAAGAGCTTTAGAGAACGACAACAACTATAAAAAAAATGCTCATTGAGAATACAGAATGAGAGGAGACGGCAGATGGGGGTCAAGAACAGAACCAGTTAAGTAAAAGCTCTCCTTGAGAAGGTTTTCAGCCTAGATTTGAAGGAATTTAGTTAATAATAATAATTCATTAATAATTGCTTACACTTATATAGCGCTTTTCTGGACACTCCACTCAAAGCGCTTTACAGGTAATGGGGACTCCCCTCCACCACCACCAATG